CCAATGCAACTTGATTCATTTCCAAAGAAGGAAACAAAGCCAACCACTACTCTCTTCACCTCAAATAAATTGGCTCAAGAAGATGGGAATTTGGATGTTGTTTACGTGCTGGTTACAAAAGAAGTTAGCAAAGAAACATCTGTTCCAGAGTTGGTGAAGAAGCTACTTCATGAGTATGCTGATGTGATGCCTGAAGAACTACCCAATGGCCTTCCTCCCCTAAGAGATGTACAACATCATATAGATTTAATGCCGGGAGCAGCATTGCCTAACCTACTCCACTATAGAATGAGCCCTAAGGAGCATGAGGAGCTCCAAAGACAAGTAACAGAGTTGTTGAAGAAGGGGCTGATCCGTGAGAGCTTAAGCCCATGTGCTGTACCAGCTTTGCTCACACCAAAGAAAGATGGTAGTTGGCGTATGTGTGTTGACAGTCGTGCCATTAACAAGATTACAGTTAAATACAGGTTTCCCATACCCCGCCTTGATGACATGTTAGACACATTGGCTGGTTCACAAGTCTTTTCAAAGATAGATCTGAAGAGTGGATACCATCAAATTCGTATCCGAGAGGGGGATGAGTGGAAGACTGCATTCAAGACTAAGGAAGGTCTTTATGAATGGCTGGTTATGCCATTTGGATTGTCTAATGCTCCTAGCACCTTTATGAGGTTCATGAGCCAAGTTTTAAGGCCATTCAGGGGGAAGTTTGTGGTAGTTTATTTTGATGACATACTCATCCACAACAAAGATCATGACAGCCACTTAGAACACTTGAGAGCAATCCTAGAAGTCTTGAGACAAAATCAGCTATATATAAATTTGAAGAAGTGTAATTTTATGACAGATCGGTTGGTGTTTTGGGGGTATGTTGTTTCAGTCAAGGGGATTGAGGTGGATAAAAAAAAAGTTCAAGCTATTCAAGAGTGGCCAACACCAAAGACCTCAAATGAAATTCATAGTTTCCATGGGCTAGCAACATTTTATCGTCAGTTTATAAAGAATTTCAGCACTATTGTGGCACTCATTATCGAATGCTTGAAAGGAGGTGAGTTTACTTGGACTCTTGCAGCTGAGAAAAGCTTCCAAGAGCTAAAGGTGAGGATGACGAAGGCTCCGGTATTGGCTTTACCTGATTTTAACAAGCTCTTTGAAATTGAATGTGATGCATCCCATATTGGGATTGGAGCTTTCCTTAGCCAATAAGGCCGTCCAATTGCTTACTTTAGTGAGAAACTCAATGATGCTAGAAGGAGGTATTCCACTTATGATGTTGAGTTTTATGCCATTGTGCAAGCGTTGAAGTTTTGGAGGCATTATCTTATCCAACGGGAGTTTGTGTTGTATTCAGACCATGAAGCATTGAAACACCTTAACTCCCAACAGAAGATAAGGGGAAGACATGCTAAATGGGTTGACTTTCTACAAGAATATAATTTTGTTTTGAAGCATAAGGCTGGACAGCAAAACTAGGTAGCTGATGCTCTTAGTAGGAGAGTTCACTTGGTGTCAACAATGTCTATAATGTTGTGGGATTCAGCTCCATCAAAGACCAATACCAAGATGACCCTTATTTTGGCCCTATTTGTAGAAGCTATACAGCAGGCAACAAGGATATTCACGCCAAGTTTGTGTGGAACGATGGTTACTTATTCACGGGCAATAGGTTGTGTATTCCATCAGGATCCTTGAGGGCATTACTCATTGCTGATTTGCATTGCAAGGGACATTTTGGTCGCATGAGGACACTTGAAATGATCTCCAAACGATACTTTTGGCCAAGGCTACAAAAGGATGTGTTATATTATGTTGATAGATGTCACAAGTGCCAAACATCTAAGGGGCAGCATCAAAATACAGGTTTGTATCTTCCCTTACCCATACCAAAAGCACCATGGACTGATATTACTATGGATTTTGTGTTGGGGTTGCCAAGAACAGCTAGGGGTAATGACTCTATTTTTGTTGTAGTTGATCGTTTCTCTAAAATGACCCACTTTATTGGTTGCCAAAAGACTTATGATGCTTCTCATGTAGCTAACTTGTTTTTCAAAGAAGTTGTTCGGTTGCATGGATTGCCAAGTTCTATCACATCAGATCGTGACACAAGATTCCTTAGCCACTTATGGAGAGCTTTATGGAAGCGTATGGGTACTACCCTACAATATAGCAGTACATTTCACCCACAAACAAATGGACAAACTGAAATGGTTAACCGAAGCCTAGGCAACTTGTTGAGGAGCCTAGTTGGAGACTACTTAAAGCAATGGGATCTTATCCTACCACAAGCTGAATTTGCCTTCAACGATTCAATTAATAGGTCTATAGGGAAGACTCCTTTTGAGGTTGTGTACGGTCGGTCACCTAAAAGTGTTGTTGATCTAGCTCCTGTAAC